CATTTTCTCCGCCCGCCCGCCCGCCCCCAACTGCCTGTTCTTCAGTTCTGAACGTGAGTCATCACTTCCTCTCCACCACCCAGGCTTTTACAACTGGAATAAAGTAGGGAAATTGAGGTGGTTTTGCTTCTTGCGAAGCCCAGCAGTTACAAAACGTGGACTTTCTGGGGTTGAATAATAATTTCAGGCATTCCCCAATGTTGCAGAGGATGGAGGAGTCGGGCGCAGAGGGTTGCCAAAGCAGGGTCCGGGAAAGGGCCCCTCCCTGGTCCAGAGCTGGGGAAGAATTTCAACTGGAATAAAGTAGGGAAATTGAGGTGGTTTTGCTTCTTGCGAAGCCCAGCAGTTACAAAACGTGGACTTTCTGGGGTTGAATAATAATTTCAGGCATTCCCCAATGTTGCAGAGGATGGAGGAGTCGGGCGCAGAGGGTTGCCAAAGCAGGGTCCGGGAAAGGGCCCCTCCCTGGTCCAGAGCTGGGGAAGAATTTTCTTCCCTCCCCAGACGGCTTTAATGCCTCGCAGGCGGAGGGTGGCGTGTGCGCTCGCAAGGGGATCTGCAGGTGGTCTAGAATTACCTTCTCAACCAAAACTGTTCTGATTGCTATTTTACACATGGGTTTTTTCCCTGTTCTTCCAAAAGGACTGCGTTGTCCTGTAAGACCACAGCTAGATCAGGAGCTTCATCCTCCAGGTCCACCATGGACCCTTTGCTCCCTGGACCACTTGGAGCCCCCCCCGCCCCAGCTCTTTGAAAGAGCTGATTTCTGCCTCCCAGGGCGGTCCAAGGAGGGGTTATGGAGGGCCCCACATATTGCGGGGGGGGGGAGGCTGGGCCCCAGGGAAAACCTTCCTGGGAAATCCTAGAGCAAAGGGATGTGAAGGCTGCTTGTTTTCTGCTCCTTAACTGTTTTTTGTCAAAGAGTGGCCGGGGTTTTTATTTGCCTGCTGGAGTACCCTCGAGGAAAGCGGAAAAAGGGATCCACCATGCAGAGATGGTAAGCCGCATAAGCTTCGTGCCTTTTCTGGTGGTCAAAGATGTCACAGAGGCTGAGGGTATCCCACTCCTTTTGCTCATGCAGAGTGCCGAAGCCAACATACTGAGAATCTCATTCAATGTCATTAATTGTGTTAGCAAGAAAGCCTAAGCTTCTAGTCCTCATGGCTATCAAAAGGAGAGGGGTTTGTGCTTGGCACAATGTCACAACTAGCACTGAGGTAAGGGCTCAGCCCCCCGCCATTGCTCCTTGTTTTCCCTCAAAGCTAGCACAAGAAACATAAAGTGTGTGAAAGAAGGATCGCAGGCAGACCTTAGCATTTAATGAAGTCAGTTACCAATTTTACAAAGTCACTATGGGTGTATATATGTAGCAGGGGCATAGATGAATTTGTTTGCACAACACCCAAGGTTTATGTTTGCTTGATATATTCACAAACTGCCCTGTGGTGCCAAATTCAAAGGGTGGCTCACATTGTCAGGTAACAAAAATAAGAAGTGCAAGAGTACTAACATCACAGAAACAACAAAAGACCGGTACATTTTGTCTTCTTTGCATGTGACAGAAGTGTTTTTCAGCCTGGATCTTAACAAGAGAATTTTTGTTAGAAAGATTAAAAATGCAGACATTCATCATGCCTGTCCCACAAAAATGTACATTTTCATTATGTCTAGGTATTTGGCTGCAGAGCCAGAGGTTGGGAGTTTTAATTCCCCCCCCCCAACTGGGTCTCCTTGAGAGGGGCAAGACCTGGGGCATGACCCAGACGGCTCCTTCCAGCTCTGCAGTTCTAAGAAGCAGATAATTATGAAGTGCCTGCCACAGTATTAAAGGAAAATAGCCATCGTCTAGGTGTAGGAAAAAAAATCCATCTCAGTTCTTGCGATTGTTTGATGCACGATCCTAGAAGCCAGTCAGCAAAGTAGTACTCTGAATGGGCTTGGTGGCAGGATGTAAGCTTTGGAGCACCACAGAACTCTTTAATAGATGGATTCTGAGTGCCATTGCTAACTTGCCTCTTTTCTTTTGGATCCCTCCACAGCGGCCAGAGGTTTCTCACACCGGTGGTGAAAGTGTTTGGCCCTCTCACCCGGAATTACTACGTCCGGGCCTTCCTACATGCTGGGTAAATTATATTTCTTCTTGGGGTGGAAGAACGAACTCTCTGCTTGAACCCTCTTCTGGCTGTCAAGGGCGTTCATGTCTCGCCGAGGCACCTGTCCCTTGGAGTGGGGCAAACACGGCCCTTTTGTCCTGCTTCCAGACGAAAAGACAGGGGCAAGTGCTTGTGGTGGCTCCGGGCAGCCTTCAAGGTCAGCCACAGAGGGCCTTCGGGATGTGAAACGGAAGTTGGGAGCGTGCTCTTCTTTCCCCCCTGGACTGTGCCCTGACTGGACAGGCCGTTGGTCAGACACAGCTTTAGGTCACTTCTTACACAGGGTGAAAATTTGGCCTTAAGCCAGCATCTCTTCCGTGATTAGAGCTGTGAGCGCTAAACGCAAGGTGCACACGCCCCAAATCCCCTCCCCTCTGTGCGATCACACAGAGAAAGAGGCTGCGATGTGGACCCCCTTTGGAGCGCTCCGGTGCCATCTCTTTCCTGGGGGGCCATGCAATGGTCAGGGAGATGCCTCCCACTCTGCCCCCCCATGTATTCCCTTTTTGGCCCAGATCTGGGGCTTCTGCTTTTTTGGGGACTCGGCTGGAGCGATTCCCCAGCAGATGGAAGGTTCATTTTTAAGGGAGAACGCTCCAGTTCAGGCCACCCTTTCAGGGGCAACCAGGTGGGGGGGGCTGCGCAGCCGTTGGATCGCACCCTGGGTTGCTTTTCCTCTCACTCGCTCACCTCTCCCTTTTTCAGCCTGGCGATCCCAGCAGGATTCTTGCTGGCCACGATCCTCGGCACTGTTTGCCTTGCCATCGCAAGCGGCATCTACTTACTGGTAAGTGGCAGAGCTTACAGCAGCCGACTGGAAACCCCTAAAAACGAACGGCAAACATCAGATTTCTCCTGACGAGTCCTCCTACTCCTGCCCATGGGTTGAGTTCCTCTTCCGCCCCCTACTGGCTTGAGCCAATCCTACATTTAACTAACTCTTCAAAAAGGTTATTAAACAGGAGTGACTCTTCTAGATGTTCCAGCGTCTTACATGTAGCCAGAAACAGCCTTGCTCTTCCTAAGGCCTAGAATAGAAACTCCAGACGTTTGGGCTTCTGTACCCATAAAACCTCTTGCCATTAGCAATGATGAATGAGGTGGATGTCATCTGAAGTCCAGAGCATCCCAAGGCTCAGAACATCTTCACTGAGATCTAAAATAAAATATAGCTTATCATCATCTCATTAGGTTACACTAAAAAAAGGAAAGAAAAGATAAAATCACATCTGTAGTATTTAATTCTGTTTATTTTTCCCTGGGCACTTAAACCTTTAAAAAAATCCACCTTCCCCATGGCTGGTCTAACAAGTTATTCAACAAAGATTAACTGAGCTAATCAGAATATCTTACTATATTGTATTCAGATACTTGTCCCATAGTGGTGCGGCAGGGATACAGCAGTTTCCCCCACCAACAAGTTATTATTATTGGCAGTTTCTGAGTTTGACAATCAAGTTAATACCCATTGAAATTGTGGCAAATATAAAGTTTTTAAAATTTCATTTCTCAAAGGTATGTTTGTAAGCACATCCTAGGTCTTACTGATTAAAAAAGATCAATTAACTGTTTAATTGCCTCATGTAATATTTTGCACCTGCTTTTCCAGATAAACAAAAGGATTATCCTAAATACAGCTACAATAACAAACCACCCCATCAAATTTCCCTAAATCCAGGATATTTTGTTTAAAATATCCAGATCAGTGGGGGGTGGGGTTGTTACTGCTGTATATGTTGTTATATATTTGTATATGAAATGTTAATTGAGTGGGGGTATTTGGAGAGGGTTTTAATTTCTGGTCAGCCACTCTGTTTGGTCTTCAAGTGTAGTGAAATTGTGAGTCTTCGGGGGTTCTGGGTGCCCGGCCAGATTCAGCCACTAGGTGGCGCCCTGCATTGCACATTGTGATACGTTGATGCCTAAGAGTTTGGTTGGGTAACAAGTACGAAATCTCTCATAATAGCAGAGGGGCGAGGCAATGGGGAGCAGCCAGGCCTTTGCTCATCCAGCCAGGGCTGCCTGCACCAAAGGGCTGGCGTTGCACAGTGGCAGGGCCCCTGCTTTGAGCAATTTCATCTCCGAGGAGGCTGGGAAAGACGCCTTCCTGAAGACCCCCCACCCCGGTGCCCCAGGCCTTGGAAAAAAGAAGTGGGCTACGGTCTAGAAAAGCTTATGCCGAACAGAAACATTTAGCCTTCCAGGTGCACCCTAGACTTTTCAACAGGACTGGACACGGTGCGCCAAGGAGCAGCCCTTTGGGGTTTCAGGAAGGCTGCTTGCTGAGGGTCTCCCATCCCAGCTCTGACCTGGCCTGACCCTCCTTAGCGTCTGAAACCAGACCGGGTTGGGTGGCGTCCAGCACCCTGCGATGGGTCCTGCCCATTGAGGTGCCTCCCCCCCCACACCTTCCTGTCTTTTGTCCTTCAGGCGGCCACCCGAGGGGAAGAGTGGCAACCCATTGAAGCGAAGCCACGTGAGCGGCCACAGGTGGGAGCCACCATCAAGCACCCGCCGACTGAGCCGCCCCCTCGGCCTCCGGCAGAGGCCCGCAAGAGACCGGCGGACGAGGCGAGGGGCAGCAGCGATGGCCAGGAAAACCCCCTCCCGGTCGTTGTGGAAGCAGAGTGATGGGCCGGGCTCGTCCTCCCCAAGAAGTCCAAAGCGGGGGGGGGGAAGCGCCTGTGGCCCTCCCCTTCCAGCCCCAGCGTCCGCCATGGGTCGGGTGCAGTTCAGCCTCCTGCGGCCGGCTCTTTCCCCGTTTGCTCCTGAATGCCCACCTGAGCCCAGCCCCCCCCCGTGCTGCTCTTGCTGCCCGACGTGGCAGGGGGCGCGTTGTCTCCTTCTGCTGCTGCAGGCGGAGTTTCTGAGGCATCAAGACTGGGCTTGAACGTCTTCCTGTTTCTGTACAGGAATGGGGCCTGTTCTCTCTCGGGTCCCCCAGGTTTCTACTTTGTAATAAAGTGGCCACTTTGGTTGTTGAACAGAAAAAAAGGGGTGCCTTCCTTGTACAAAAATCCAGAAAGGAGCATGGGTCACAACTTGATGCACACGAAAGGCGTCCAAAACCAGTGAGATTTTGAGTCTCACATTTGGCACAGATCTGTTGATGTCCAGGCTGAAAAAGTGACTTAAAACTCACCTCATTACCTGCTACTTTCATTACCTGAAAACAAAACAAAACAAAAACCTTTGGATGGCTGAGAATCACATGAAACTTGAATAATCTTGTCAAAATTCCTCTAAAAATAATTGGTAAACATCATGAATTTGTGCAAATGAGACAATTTCCCCCCCAATCAGTATCTAATTTTTAAAATATAACACCCTGACATTGTTATCATTAAGATCACTCCTGACAGGTGGTTGTGTAACTTGTGACTTGACCCATGGCTGCTATCATGTGTAGGGTCGACCTGCCAGCATCCCAATAGAGTCCTCTGTGCCTTCAAGTCTACCTGCTCATTCCAGTCTCTCTCTCTCTCTCTCTCTCTGTGTGTGTGTGTGTGTGTGTGTGTGTCCTGAGTCTCAGTCTACCATGTGTGGTTCTCCTTTGGCCCCTACAATCTGGGAGCAAGGAGTAAATGCCAGGCTTGGAGCGGGGCCAAGATAGGGTTCAGGGTGTCCACGGGCTTCCTTGAGTTGACGGGAGGAAGTGGGTTCTGTCTGCCTGGCAGCTTCTTGAAGGTGCCTGGAGGTGGTGATCTAGAGTCATTTTGGCCCTGGATTTGTCTGTGAGGAGTGGAATACAGTATATGGAGTCTGGAAACGACCCTCGGCGTCCCACAGCCGGCAGGGTCATGCTGATTAGGGGAGTCGGGAAATGATAAGCCAAAAGAGAAACTTAGCCAGACTCTGTGAGATGTCGCAGGACCCCCAGATCGCTTCTGTCCAGGGAAGAGCCTCCTCTGACGCAGGGCAACCCTTCCGCCACACTGCTAGCCACCAGGGATGATGGGGGGGGGTTTGCGCTGGAAGAGCACCTGCAAGCCACCCCTTTTCTCCCCTTCCTGCCCCACAAGCTTCGGCCCCTCTGAAGAGGTTGTAGGCGAGAGGGGGGGGTGGGGGGATTGGCGGTGGTGCTAGGCGACCTTTAGAGACCCCCTGGTGACCCGTCGGTTCTGTAACATTAGCAATAAAGCAGCCAGATATTTGACATAGAGAAATACAATCTTTATTTATAGAAGAATCGTTTCTTCTTACATAATAAATAAGCTTGCATAAATAATTTAATAATTTAGGCACATCATTTGTGGAATATAAAATACAAACATTCATGAAGCGTCACAATAAATAAAGGGGTCAACTCTGGGTGACCCCTGGGGTCACAGCCTGCACCTCCAGCAAGAGGCCCCAAAAGCTGCTTTTGCCTGAAAGCATCTGCAGCCGAGGGATAACCTGGCCTGGGAAAGCCTTGCTTCCAGGCAGGAGGAGGAGGAGGAGGAGGAGGAAATGGGCCCAGGCAGGTGGAAAGAGTGCTTGGGGCAGGCCTGAAGCTAAAAGCCTCAAGAGCAGGACTTCCAGGCGGCCAGGAGAAAGAGCCAGGCTCTCCGACCGAGTCTTTCTCTCTCTCGGGTATATATATGGTCATCCGAGGGGGTCAAAAGGCAGCCGCCGCCGAGGGGAAGCAAAGAGTTTACACAGTCATGGCAATGTACCCTGAAAACTCACATATGGAAATGTAGTCATCATCATCAACAACAA